GAAGGGGTTGTACTATAGGTAATACAGTAATGAGAGGGGGAAATCTAAGCAATAGGAAGGGGAGGGATTGGGGGTATGCATATGACAAGATGGGGGATCCTAGATGCAGGACAACAGCCTAACTTTGGATGTCACTGAAAAGGTTTGACCTGTTCTAAGCTCTCCAGGGAAACAATCACTATCCTATCAATAGGGTGTGAGCCCCACCTACAGTGGACCAGACAGTAGTCTGATTGCTTTCGATGGCTGAATGCCTGCAGGGAGAATATCTCTAAGCATCTGACTTCCCACCCTGTGCTGGCAAACAGCCTCTTAGGTTTGGCATATCTTTGGGGAGACAAAGCTGGGGAAAAGTCTTTTCATATCCCACAGGTGTGAGGGTAGCTCCCGTGAGCTATGGCTTGAAACAAGATCATAGCAGTGACGGTGGTGATCATTGTTTGAACTCTGGAAACTTTGTGAAGGGTGAGAAAGCATGATTTCCCAAAATAGGGGAAGACTTCCAGATAGAACATGTGTGCAGGCGAGAGTAGTCAAAGTGGTCTCCGGAACTTGGGGCCTGAGCAACTGGAAGGGCGGAGGTGCAGGAAAAGTAAAGTAGGGAAGACAGAGCTTTAGGGACATTTGAGGAATTTTCTTCTTCGAGATGGTCAGCAAGCTTTTAAAGTTATCATCTGCACAACCCAGGAACTTGTTCAGCACATCAGGTGTCCCTGGAAGGGTCATACACCTTGAGGACAGGGTGGGAGAACACAGCCCGTGAGTGGCAGGGCAGAGGAGCGGATGGCCCAGAAGCTCATTCCTTACAAATGCTGTCTAGCTCCGAAAAATCCCATCAGGTAACACGAGACCATGGCGTCTCTTTTTGAGGGTTTGCCCCCCTTCTCCCCACCCCACCTTGAACAATAACCAAGGTCATCGGCATCCTAGAGATGGACAAGCTAGGTGGATGTGCTGGGGAGGAAGGTGGGAACCAACAGAAAAGTGGAAGCTCTCCTCTGTGTTCACTTAGATAGGGAGCGTGCTCGGAGGGTGTGCCTAGTCCTCACAGCGGTGGTTGGCTGTAATTGAGTTTGACTTCCGCACGGCGCCATAGAAGAAAGAACATGTTTCTACAGCCTGTCTGGTTACCCTCTGGAATCCCCGTACTTTTGGTTTTGTTGTGTTTTCCCAGTCCCATCCGGCTGCCCCTCCATTATCCTGACGTCTGGCATTGGACTGGGATTCATGTGTTGAGCTGTTAACCACGAGGTCAGCGGTTTCAACCCACCCGTAGCTCTAAGGAAGAGGAATGAGGATGTCTACGCCCCTAGAGACTTAACGTCTCAAGAGACACAATGGGACAGTTCTACTCTGCCCTCTGGGGTCACAGCGAGTCAGCATCGACCCAGCGGGGTTTTGGTGGTCTAGGATGAAACAGTCTGAAATGGAGGGAAAGCAGCCAATACGCAGGCCAGGGACACAAATGCCCGGTTGGTCAAACAGCGCCAGCAGACCAACTAGCTCCATGCAGGTCTGCCACAAAACTTCAGTCTGTAAAAAAACAAGAGATCTGCTAAGCACACTACAGCAACGAGCAATGACTTAGGGAATTTGTATCTCCGGGTGCTGGCGTCTATTATTACATGGCCCCACAGCTTCACCGGTCGCTGATCATTTCTGGATAATTGGTCTGACTTCATGAAACCACCTTAAACCAGAGTTTGAACTCGACTGACTGCCACTGAGCTAATGCCAACTCAGAATGACCCTATAGGACAGGAGCGAGTCGCCCCTATGACTTCCCAGCACTGTAGTAGAAAGCCCTATCATTCTCTCTTAGAATGAGCAGCTGATGGATTCGAACTGCCGGCCTTGCAGTTAGCAGTAACCACGATGCCACCAGCACGCCCTCAAACCGTAGTACACACCGCACACAAAAGCACTGGGTCCTTCTGTGCCTGTTGTACCATCACCCTGACCAGTCACTTCTTGCCTTTCAGGACATTTGCAAATCTCTCTGGTGCTACCGAGTGGGCCAAAGGTGTGCGACCAAGTTCATGCCCGCGGCGGAGGGGACCGTTTGTGGCTCGAGTATGGTAAACTGCATACTTGTTAGCTTTTAGTTCTAGATGCTTGATGAACCCAAATTCTCTGACCTAGAATGGCAGGCGTTTGCTGCCTCGCTTTTCTTTCTGTCTTGGCTGTAAAATGGCCTCTATGATTTAGCAGCCGTTGTCAAACGTCATGCCAACATGAACCACTTGGCTCAGTTGCAAATGATTCATCTCTTAGCCTTTTGTAGAGGATAGGCTTGGGGCAAACTCTTTCTCGTTCAGTGAGCCAGTTGGTCGCATGGTCTATTTTTGCCTTCTCTACTTGACCCAGTGGGTTAAAAACCACAGGGAGTAGATGGCCTCTGGGCTAGCACTTCCCCACTGTGGCTGCCTCCACTTCCTTCACCACCAGGGCCTCCCTTGAGCTTCTGGTTGGCCAGGGAGAGGAGCGCACCATCAGTAGAGGATTCCTCCGTGGAGAGCAGTAGACTTTCTTTTGGTTAAGACCACCTTCTTCCTCCTCAAGGACACCACATAAGAACCAGCTCCACAGTGGGAGGGTTTGGAGGAAGAACTGTCATATAGTAATTTTATTCATCTTCTCCTTTCCCACTAGAATCCGGAGGGGAATGAAGAGGTATAAACCATCTGAATTTGAGGGGTTCATTTTCACGATTGTGGGTGAAAAAAGAGGATATCGTGTCACCATTTCACTAATCTCTTAGTGAAGGTCCCCCCCCACAAAAAAAAAAAAAGTGGCCCAAGCTTGTCTCTCAGAGTCAATCAGTTAGAGTGGATCTTATTCCCCAAAAAGGTACCGGCACGTGGCTAGCAGGGGGCTGGGGATACCCAGGATCAGACCCCGTTTTCGCCTTTCAGGAGTTTGCAGTCTGTGGAGAGAGCTCTGCAGAAATCAGCAACATCATCTTTTCAAGCACATGTTCTTCAAGCCCTTGGTTACCACTGAGGCCCAGATGAGTGGGCCGTGCACCTGGTTCCGGACCTGGGGATACATTCATGAAGCACCCCAAGGAGAGGCGCACTCGGCTGGTCCTTGGCGTTGGGACGAAAAGTCTCCAGCTGGATGAGAGAAAGGACGGCTAGAAAGCCAGGCAAAGACAGGCCCACCGAGCAGAGCGTTTGCTCAGCGACGGCGTCCTGGGTTTTCCTGGGGTATTGATTCAGCGTGGCATGCAAACTGTTTATCGTGTTGCCCTTGATTTTAAAGGAAATCAACATCTAGAGAATTGAAGAGTGAGAGATAATTGGCAGTCGCTCAAGAGGCATGTGGAAGTTGGATGATGGGTAAGAACCACAGACTTGACGGCTTTGGATTATGGTGCTGGCCAGGACTATGGAAAGTACCATGGACAACCAGACGAATGACCCCGTCTGTCTTCGAAGTACAGCCAAAATGCTCCAAGATTGCGTCTCATGTACCTGGGACACGTGATCAGGAGACTAGTCCCTGGAAAAGGATATCGTGCTTGGTAGAGGATCAGCCAACAATTGGAAGACAGGGGCTGCAGCAGTGAGCTCAAGCATCAAAAATGGGTGGCTGGCCCAGGACCGGAGAGCATGTCATTCTGCTGTGTACAGACCGCTAGGCGTCAGAATTGACCAGAGGGCAGTGAAAGGCCATAACAAACAAACACCCTTTTATATATCCATCTTCGTTTCTAATGGTTATTGTCTTTACTTTTGTCATCTTTCTTGGCCCTCATCTTTGCAGTTCATCGCATTACATCAAGCAAATGACAGCACAAGCGTTCCACGCAATTTTTCATCTTAAGAACTCGCCCAAAGAGTTCTCACCGAAAACACGACAAAGCGTGTTTCTAACTGTGATCACGCACAGCAACGCATTAACTACATCAGCGAAAGAGAAGCGGCGTGATGCGAGCCGCTTTCATTTCTGAGGCATCTGACATTACAGTTGGCCACTTGAAGATTAATAGGCTTAAAAAAAAATCATTAACCAGTCAGGAGTGTGAAATCGAATAGCCTGTGAAAACAAACTCAAACCTGACCTAGTAAATGGCCAAGGGAAGGACCGAGGGCACGGGTCTAGGGTGGATTGCCTCGGTCCTCCAGGGGGTTATGCTGTGTGAGAACTGCAGTACCCTGAGTTAGATTTTATTCACTGTAATATGAGACGAGAAAAAAAAAGGTTGCTTGATTCCAATCCCCCACGCCTTGTATTTTAGAACAGCAGGACTTTCGTTGCATCCTGGGGAAACCCTCGTTTGTAAGCTCAACCTCGGCAGTTCCAGCCTTCTCAGTCTCTCTCATCCTTCCTTGGCTGCTCTAATTGGCTGTTGATTAGGCTGTCGTAAGCTCCATGTGGGCCAGGGATTTCTCTTGCTCGTGCCTTACACCCAGAGTGACCACTGCTCAATGCTTGGTTTGGTTGTAACTGGGACCCAGGGAATCCTTCCCATCCCCGCTGCTGCCCCGAGCACTCTGTGATTGATGTCTGTCCTTGAAAACCCCATGGAAGCATGAATGTAGGAGCCGTGTACTTGCTTTCTAGACGAGGGCTTCTAAATTTTTACTCCACTCACGCCCCCGTTCACCTGAGACGTTTGTAACGCATTCAAGCGATCCCAGAAACACTTTGGATTTATGATGTATTTGATTTTTCAGTCCCTTTGGGGGATGTGTACTCAGAAACCTTTTCTTTGTGCCACATTTTTCACGGCCCCCCACATTGAGTTCCATGAACCCGATAGGGGGCCCTGACCCACAGTGTAAGACACGTGGCTCTGGAGTAATGTGGGCAAGGAGGGGAGAGTTTATATCTGCTGCCCTCCCTAAAAGATCTCTGCCCAACTCCTGCCCATTCCATGTGGAATTTGGAAGCAGCATTAGCTAGATCTATACAAGGGCTCTTCCAAAGCTTTGTGGGTGAAATGGCACTAAAAGATAATAAAATTGTTCCCAGAACTTTTTGACAGGCCCTCAAAATGTATGAATTAAAACAAAACCACAGAAAAACAAAAACAAACCCAGTGTCATTAGGTCAGTTCAAACCCAACAGACCTGAGTATAGAACTGCTCCATAGGGTTACCAAGGGTGTCACGTTCACAGCAGTGGTTCTCAACCTGTGGGCCCCGACCCCTTTGGGGGTTGAATGACCCTTTCACAGGGGTTGCCCGATTCACAACAATAGCAACGTCATCGTTAGGAAGTAGCAATAAAAATAATGTTATGGTTGGGGTCACCACCACCTGAGGAACTGTATGAAAGGGTCGTGGCGTGAGGAAGGTGGAGAACCACGCTTTACCAGAACAGCGAGCCACATCTTTCTTTGGGGGAGGAGCTAGTGGGTTCGATTGATGGAGTGTTTACACACTGCGCCAGTCAAACCAAACACAGAGTCAACTCTGACTCACGGGGACCCCGCAGGGCAGAGTAGAACTACTGCTTTAAGGAGGGTGTGTATGTACATCTTTATGGCAGCAGACAGTCTTTTCATTATCCCAGGAGTGGCTGGTGCATCTGAACTGCCGACCTCAGTGTAGCAGCCCAGACTACCCACTGCAACACTAGGGTTCCTTGTTGTATGGGTAGATAAACACAGTGATGGATGCATATGGGCCTGGATACTCATGGATAAGCCGAATTTCTCAGCTCATTTTTTAATGCAGTTTTTGTGGTAAAATCAGGTGCCCCGGCTGATACTCGGATCAGCTTATACTCGAGGATATACGGTATTTTTAAGTTCTCCATGCTGCCATTGAATTTTACATCAGTACTTCCCTGAGAGTCCATTCTGATGCGTCCCTGGCTTTCAGACGGATTGAAAAGGCAGAAGTCGGCAATCGGTCACTACCGTAACCTAAGCCTAGGGTGAGGATGCAAATAAAATAAAGTTCATCGAGCGAGTCCTTGGAAAAGAAACTCAATTACAGTAAAGATCAACTCGTCGGTCAGTTGCCCCCTAGATGAGGCATGTGTGCCCTGCTCAGCTGCTTTTGCCGACTAGTTTCGTATCCTGTTTGCTTCTCCTAACCTGTTCCTGTGACCTGGGGAAAGGTGCACAGAGCCGAGGATCAGGTCCGGATTCGGCAGCTCTACCCCTTTGGTCTCATGTCATTCGCTGCCATCCCCTCATTGTCACAGCCCTGAGCCCACTTCCACCCTGTCGCTCCTGCTGCCATTCCTCCTTCTTGCCTAACTCTCCTGAGCTTGGTCCTTGGGTACATGCTGTCCATCTGATCGCAGACGGTTCATGATTCGAAGGTGTGTGTACCTCACTCCTGGCATTGTCCCCCTTAAAGTCTGTTGTTTGGCTGAAAATTAAGCCACTTGGGGGTGAGTTTGATTCCAAACTCAGTCTCCTGAAGGGTGACAGAGGACCATAACCCCCGAGTTTCCACCAGCCCCCCATCAGACCAGTAAGCCTGGTCTCTCCCTCTCTCCCTCTCTTTCTCTGTTTTAACATTCAAATCCTCTTTTTATCTACTCCCCACAATGACTTGTGGAGCTGTGTAACTCTGAACAAACTAGTTGGCATTTTTTGGCTACATTTCTCTCATTTAGGAAATCATTGTTACTCTCAGGGCTTGTGGAGGAGGATGAGAGAGCGAGCGAGCGAGCGAGCCCGTGTGCTGTCAGTTCCCGCAGCATCGGTAGCACAGAAGCATAATGTGTTCCACTGTACCTGCGGCTTCTGCTGCTTTGTCCTTGTCCCCCGAGCCCCCTCTAGTCATTTCCAGGCCGCTCCTGGTAGAGAAGAAGATGCATGACCTGGTGGTGAGTGCCTGTTGCCTTTCAGAAGAGATCTTGATTTAAGCCATGCTCTTTCCACTTGAAATTAGAAGCAGTTTTAGAAAGATAAGTGCGCCGAGAGGTGAATACTGCAGGGGAGAAAAATCTCTGAACGTCCGTTTGCCTCCCCCCAGGAAGTTCTCAACAGCGGTACGTGATCCTGTGCAGCGCGGCTTGACATGCCAATTGACTTGGGAGGAGAGAGAGAGAGAGAGAGAGGAGAGAGACACAGAATTTTAAACAGAAGAGTTAATCAGCACATGGCAAAGCCATATAGAGACAGGAAGTCATCGCTTCACTTAGACAAAGCTCACTTGCAACCAAGCTACATGATAAACAGCTGCGAAGCCAGATTTATTATGGAAGGGAAAAAAAGGAAGATTCGAAAAGTCAAACAACCTCGCCATAATTCTGTAACCCAAGCCCTCCCAGCCCCTGTCCTCAGCGGAACCTGGCTTCCCAACCCCAGCCCTGTGGGGCTTCTTGTAGAGGCTTTCAGGGGAGTGGTGCAGTTCTATGAAGTCAGGGGGAACTGGCTCACAAGGAAAGCACCCCAGAAGAGCACACTCCCCAGAGAGACGAGGGCAGCCTCCACAGACAGAGATGAGCCCCCAAGCACAGGGTGTTTGACCAAGGAGAGCTGCAGTGGGAAGGTCCGTTCGTGAAACTGTTCTCCAGCGGGGCCCCATCGGTCTGAAAAAGACCCCCAACTAATTCATCCAAGGCCCCCGAGCCCAATGCCGGTGGAAGGTCTGATGTGGGAACTTCCCCTTCAAGACATAGGGACTCAGGAGTGTTGTCTGAGAGCAGAATTTGTACAGACAGAAAACGATTTCATCTCTTGCGAAATAATCTGATGAGGATGATTCAGAATAAGAAGAAAAAACAAAAACAAAAAAGATATAAACTAGGAACCAGCCCGTGGCCGTCGAGGTGACTCTAACTCAAGGTAACCTCAGGTGTGTCCGAGGAGGACGCTGCCCCTTAGAGCCTTGAATGGCTGGATTCTGGTTCTGGTTCTGGAAATAGATCTCCAGACCTTTCTCTCAAGGTGCCCCCGGGGGGACCCAAACTTCCAACTTTCCAGTTACCAACCAAGCACATTAACCATCTGCACCAGTCCAGGTCTCCAAAACAAGGCTATCCTTCGGCCATCCCTGAACTGCATGCATCTGAATGAAGGTGCTGGCGGGGAGTGCTGAGTGTACCCGAAGCCCCAGACCAATCGGCCTTTCCTTAAGCAGTACAACCAGGATGCCCCTGAGAAGCGAGAGTGACGAGTCTCCGTGCCACGTACTTTCAACAGGTTTCTCAGGAGAGGGCAGGCCCTGGAGAGGGACATGGCCCTGGGTCAAGTGGGGGTTGATGAAAGCGAGGAAAGCCTTCGACCAGATGGATCAACACGATGGCTGCAACAACCCAACGGTGGCTCAAACATAGCCATTGTGAGCACGGCGCCGGGACAGGCTTGGTTTTGTTTGATTGTACTCTGGGAGTCCAGTGGCAGCTAGCAACCACGACATCCTTCAAGAGGGATGAGTCTGGGTCGATGTCTTCCGAACCGGTTTGCCTTGAGCAAACGAGGCACACTGCTCTTGAAGTAGCAGAAGGTGCCGAAGGTAAGGGAGGCCGCTTCGTCACATTGGACCGACCACCACCTGTGCTGTCCAGGCAGTCTTAGGTGACCATTTCACCTGGGGAGCCCACAAAGCGCATCCCCCTGAGCCTTGTGGTGGAGGGCACCCCTCCTCTCTCCACGTCAGAGGTGAGCATGGGGTAGCCCAGGGTTTAGAAAGCTTGGCAGGTGTAGGGACCCCCCTCAAGTTGTGGTGCACTTTTCCTGCATGCCGGTGGACTGGCTTTCCCATGAGCCCTCGGGCGTTAGCTGTGTCTCCCCTCACTGTCTCAAGTGTTTCCTGACAGAAACTGGGCTGTCTGTTCTCTCCACAGTGGTGTCGGCGAGGACAGTGTGTAAAGTTTGGGGAGCACGGGCCCCGTCCCGTCCACGGTCAGTGGTCGTCCTGGTCTGAGTGGTCCCAGTGTTCCCGGACGTGCGGTGGAGGAGTGCGGTACCAGGAGAGACACTGCAGTGACCCCGAGTAAGCGTCCGCGTGGCAGCACCTGTGTGCTCCAGACGTTGGCTTTTAGCACAAAGCACGCTCCTTGTTTGTTGTGTCCCACGCCCACCCTGTCGACTCCCACACCCTCCCGTTGGTTAACATCTCCCTGGCACTTGCACCTACTTGATGACAATCTAAATGTACTTTTAAGAAAAGCGTATCAGTCCCACGAAATCATTAAGGGTGTGTGTGTGTGTGTGTGTGTGTGTGTGTAGTTGGTATCTATGAATGAATTTGCTGTTTCAACTGCCTTTTGAAAATGGCATCCTTGGGAACAAAGCAAAACGTCACACCAATGCCACTCTTTGGAAGCGTAAGATTCAGTGACACTGAGTTGTGTGAGCTTTCTCCTCCCTCCTTCTAGGAGCTGTCCTCTTCCCTCCACCCCACCCCCCGCCCCACCCCGCTAAGGATGCCTGTTGTCACTTTGATCTAAGAGCATCCTACTCAAGACAGACACATTTTTTTTTACTAGTTAAGCTGAACTGTTGCTTGGTTTTAAGACTTCTCGGGAATATTTTGGCTTATATTTTGAAGACTGATGTTAGGGGCAGTCGTTTCTGGAATTCAACCAGCCCTCGTGGGCCCCCAAAGTCCACAATTCTCTTCAGTGTGTTGCCTTCTGATGGGATTCTTCTGTAGATTCTTTGATCAAAATGCTCAGTAATGGCAGCCGGGCACCATCTAAGTCTTCTGGTCTCAGGCGAAGAGGCCCTCGTTCATGGAGGCCATCAGCCATACATTCCTTTTCCGGTTCTTGTTTCTGGTTGCCCTTCTTCCTCTGTTGCTCTAGGCAACTAGAGACCAGTTCTTGAGGCTTGGATGCTAAGTGCAAGCTTTTTAAGACCCGAGGCACAAAGTAGTGAACTAGGAGGTAGACCAGAAGGACTAAATACATTATTAGACCAATAAACTGAGATGTTCCATCTAAGCATGATTTTAAACCTCCAAACCAAGGAACTAAATCCCAGGAGGTGTTTGGTTGTGCATAAGCAGTCTCAGCAGCCACTTTTTTATTGTTTATGTCTCACTGTTGTAATCAACCCTTTTTATATGACATGACGGTGACATTTAATTCTGTTCAGCATAGTGTGTCTCTATCACAACTATCTGTTTGTAAATTTTCTCGTCATCCTTAAGTGTGTGTTTTCTCCCCTTTGGTTTATTGTAATCATTTAGGGTCTTGCGATTTGTATGGAAAGGTGATACACATCCATCCATCGGTGTAGACAGGAATTGAGGAGTAGAACACAAAAATACAGCAGAGGGGTCCTTCTGTGTGGGACTATGCTGCCCAAAGACCCCAGTCATTGTCTCAGCCCCATTCTTTTTTTTTAATCATTTGATTGGGGCTCGTACAATTCTTATTAAAATCCATCCATCCATCCATTGTGTCAAGCACATTTGTACGTTTGTTGCCATCATCAATCTCAAAACCTTTTCTTTCTACTTGAGCCGTTGATATCAGCTTATCATTTTTCCCTTCCCTCCCCATTCCCCCTCCCTCATGAACCCTTGATAATTTATAAATTATTATTTTGTTATATCTTACACTGTCTGACATCTCCTTTCACCCACTTTTCTGTTGTCCTTCCCGCAGGGAGGAGGTTATATGTAGATCCTTGTAATTGGTTCCCCCTTTCTACCCCACCTTCCCTCCACTCTTCAGGTATCCCCACTCTCACCACTGCTCCTGAAGGGATCATCTGTTTTGGATTCCCTGGGTTTCCAGTTCCTATCTGTACCAGTGTACATCCTCTGGTCTAGCCATATTTGTAGGGTAGAATTGGGATCATGATAGTGGGGGGAGGAAGCATTTTAGAACTAGAGGAAAGTTGTATGTTTCCTCATTGATACCCTGTACCCTGACTGGCTCATCCCCTCCCCACGACCCTTTTGTAAGGGGGTGTCCAGTTGCCTATAGATGGGCTTTGCTTCTCCACTCTGCACTTACCCTCTTTTACGATGATTTTTTTGGTTCTTTGATGCCTGATACCTGGTCCCTTCGACACCTTGTGGTCACCCAGGCTGGTGTGCTTCTTCCATGTGGGCTTTTTTGCTTCTGAGCTAAATGTCAGCCCCATTCTTAATCTCAACAAGCTCCAAGGTACAGGACCTTGGGATACCACAGCACAGAGTGGCTTGGCCGGTGGAATGGGTGTATCTTGGTCAGGCAAGTTGCATCAAGAATGCCGACTTCTGCCCTCCCGGCATGCACATCAACCTGTGTTGACAGCTCCGCCTGGCTTTTCAAGAGAAACCAGAAATTCCCGCCCCACCCCAAAAAAATGTTGGTGTGAAATTTCTCAGCTTTCAAAAACAGTGACAGTGAGTTCAATGAAATCCAAGGAAACAAGACATAACTAAAGCACTGTGAAAATAAATCAGACTTTAATGGATCGTCATTGGCCCGAGGTCATCTGTGTCCCCCCTCTGCCCTAATCGGGCTGGGTCCCTGAGCTGCAGATGGTGTCTGTGGGGACAAAGGCAGTGTTAGGTTACTTGTGGATACTTTAATACAAGGAGGCTTCAGAAAGGGTGCATGGAAATTCCACTGTCTGGTAATTCCATTTTTCGATGAACTTTTTTCGAAGCCCCCAGTATACTCAACTCCCACATAAAACACGCATGAGACGTGGATTTCCCAATGGTATGGTGAAACAGAAAGAGGCTGTCCACCCGATGTCTGTGCTTCTCCAGAGGGAGTTGGCTGTCACTGCAACGCTGAGCTTGGGTGTAGAGCCAAGGGGCGCCAATCATACGCTCTTTGGAAAGCTTGGGGAAGACCAGAGGTTGCATCTTGGCACAGCGGGAAAGCATGCAGCGGACACTCCATGGAAGGCTCTCAGGGCCGTGCTGTTTGCATCCTCCTCCTGGCAAGCTCGCCAGGAGAACCAGGTCCTGGCGCGATGCGAGTCCTCAGAAACCCTGGAGGGAAAGGAAGATCTTCCTGATAAAGGTGGACTTCCGAGAACTGCTGGGGGCCACAGAATGAGAAGACCGTAACTAGACCTTGAGAAACAGTGGGTTTCATCTGATGACAAGATTTGGGCGGTAGGATGTCTCAACTGCTGCCTCCGTGGGTGCCGATTGTGGATCCGGGTCAAAGGAGATGCTTGCCAACGTCTTCTCTCTGTTCATGATGGTGCTGTTTATTGGAGCAGTTGTGAGGGTATTTTTCCTTTCCCTCTTTATATTGAAGTGTAATCCATCCTGAAGGCTGTAGTCCAGCCGTCCTCAAACTATGGCCCGCGGACCACATGCAGCCCACCGAGGACATTTATCTAGTCGCCGGGTATTTTTGCCCCATTTGTTTTTTACTTCAAAATAAGATATGTACATTGTGCATAGGAATTTGCTCATAGTTTGTTTGTTTGTTTTTAACTCTAGTCCTGCCCTCCACCGGGTCTGAGGGACAGTGAACTGGCCCCCTGTTTAAAAAGAGTGAGGACCCCTGCTGTAGTCTTTGTTCTTGGTCAGCAGGTTCTGTACCCTGCAGGTTGTTGACGAGCCTTCCTCTAGGTCACCAGCATTTCAGATTGTTTGCTCAGCCTACAGATTGAATAAGGGCGCCAAAAGGGATCCAATCCCCACACCCACCATGCCTGACTTGGAACCTTGGAGGATCCTCTTGTTCTGTTCCTCGTGCTTGGGAAAGTAGAAGGTAATGGAAAAAGGGCGGCAACCCTCAATGAGCTAGATTAACACAGTGGCTGCAAGGATGGCCTTGACCATAGGGAAGATTGTTAGGAAGCTGTCAGAGTGGACGGTGCTTGTGTTCTGCTCACAAGTTCCCTATGCACTGACAGCAGCTTGACGGCCCCTAACAACCACATCAGCAGAGCCCAAGGAGCCGTGGTTGTTAACATGACTCGGACCCATGGCGATCACCTGTGTGTCGGAACATGACTCTGCTCCATCGTAAGAGGATGACAAGCCTCCCCAGGAGCTGCTAGGGGAATTTGAACCTTCAGCCTTTTGACTGGCAGCTGAGAACATTAGGCCTTTGCAGCATCCAGGCACTCGCGGATGGCTCTGTGCTAGAACTCTTGCTTCTCCAGGGGAGCCCAGGTCTGATGGTTGGTCAGTGCAGCTCCTGGACGCCCACCCCCGGTTTGTCAGCAGTGGGTGGGGCATGGCTACAGCGCTGAACAGGTGTCAGGAGAGCTTCGAGATGAGGAAAAACTGCCTGCTAAACTGCTGTGCTACACCAGCCATGGAGGCCTCTGTGGGTCACAAGGGTCCAGTCTCCCAGCTGACAACAGGGGTGGCAAAGGACCAGGCCACCTTTTGTTCATGCCATCGCCATCAGCCAGGGTTGACTCACAGCAGCAGCGGGCGTGGGCTGGCAGAGACTCCATCGCCAGCAGCTTGCGCTTCCTCTTGACCTTGTGACTTCCTCCCGGGTCCCTCCTTCCTCGTTTGTCAGAGTAGGCTGATGACAGCACCTGCCTCCATGGAGTTTGTATTGGTAAGGTGCTCAGAGGCATGCCTGGCATGCTTGTAAGCCCTGTATAAATGTCTGGTAAGCTGAGGATTAAAATAAATCGTGACCCGAGCATGAAAGGAAATTCGGAAAGAGCCAAAGAATGCTTCTTTTGACGCAGCAGTCTGCACTGGGGAGGGACGAACAATGTTTCATCCCGGCGAGGCTTGGTGATGGTCCGGCCATGCTTGGTTAGGGCGTATAGTTGGGGTAGCTCAGTCTCCCCCAGACTAGCTGGGTTCCTCAACCTTGTCATTGTGGACCTTTGCGACCACAGAAGGCTCTGTTTTAGGGCCTGTCCTGAGCTTGACGGGGGTTTACTCACTTCACCTGTACCCACTACTTTTACTCCTCCCAGCCCCCACCCCCACCCTGATCCAGTAGGGCCAATCCAAGATCTCCCCAGACTTTGCCGAATATGTCAGCACTGAGAACCCTGGGTCCAATCAGACGCCGGAACAGGGTATGCTGGTGGAGGCTTTGCGATGCTTTG